CCTTTATGCCTCCTGCGTGACCGTGGTACATGCCATAGTCTCATTGTATACAAATTAATGTGCACTAACGCTTCACACGTACTGCATCTACAGGTTCAAGCTGAAGCACACAGTGGCTGGACAGACAGAATATTCGGACGAAGCTGCCAATCTGTAACAGAGTTACAACTCCGTTATACATGTATACGGTATATGTATAGTGTATACCAAATACTCGATGACGGCCATTTCGAGGATCCATTGTTTACATCTATTGTTTATCTACCAAACGAGGTGCTCAGAGATTACCAAGAAGGACTGGTTCGTAGAGCAGCTAGAAGAAGTAGTAACAACAATAATTCACTTTTCAATTTGCTTCAGAGATAAAAGCTTCTTCTGTAACATAGCAGCACTTGTTGTTGTCAAGTCCTCGGAGTCCTTCGAGCCACCGAGTCCAAGATCAAGACCGTCGAGTCCAATACTATCAAGTTTACAAGGTTGTCGAGTTATATATCGTCTGTAGCCATCGAGTTACAAGTATGGAGCAGACCAATGCTCCCCAAACGTTTGGCGAAATGCTGCAATTTTTCGCTCACCAACAAGAACGTCTTCAAGCGGCAATGAATGAGCAAATAGCTGCCCAAGCCGCCCGTCTCGAGGCTATCGCAAGCCGCCCACCTGCGACTCGACGTGCAGAGCCACCGAAATACACTGGTGCGCTGAATGAGGACCTGGAACTGTGTGTGTTTTTTTTTTTACTGTTGAACAGTACTTTTGGGATTATCATCCAGTCATGGTGGAGAATTCACCTACGTTCGTTACTATGGTTTCCTGCTTTTTGGCACCAACGCCGATGAATTGGTATCGCCAGTTTGTGGCTGACTGTGAGCGTAGCCAGGTCGTCCGGACTTGGGACGTGTTCAAAAACGCAATGCGTAAACGTTTCCTACCACCTGATTACGAGTACATGCTGCGAGAGAAACTCTGCAAGCTAACTCAAACGGGATCCTTGCATGACTACCTGAGTGTGTTTCAGGACATACTGATTCAATGTCAAGTTGAAATCACCCCATTGGAGCTGCGGTTCTACTTTCAGCAAGGCCTGCGCGGTGAAACCTCACAGCACCTGCGTGAGCACCATCCACAGAATCTTGAAGATGCCATCGAAATGGCTCTGCGATTTGATCACAGTGTGTCGAAAGGTGACATCCGTTCGGCTACAGCGGAATGGATGAAGACTGCTACTTGTCATCGATGCAAACAGGAAGGCCACATTGCCCCGCAATGCACAAACGCGAGGAAGCAAACCTCCTTTAAAACCGGGTCGTGTAACGGAGTTACAACTCCGTTATACATGTATATGGTATA